GGCCGTCTCGCTCAATTCAAAGAGGCTTGGATCGAATCACGACCAGACCCCTGGACATTAGGCGTAATAACCGAAGGTTACAAATTAGAATTCAAGAAAATTCCCCCTCCAGAGTTTATTGTTTCTTCCGTGTCCAAAAACAGTACAAAAAGAAACAGGACTTGATCTGCAGTAACACATTTATTAAACATCAAAGCCATAGAGCCAGTCCCTCTTCAACAACAGGGACGGGGCATTTATTCAATATTCTTTACAGTCCCCAAGAAGTCAGGAGATTGGAGGGCAATTTTAGACCTAAAATTCGTAAACAAATTTATCGTCCCCAAGCACTTTCGCATGGAAACAATGAGGTCAATTGCAGAATCGCTCCAACTACAGGAATTTCTAGTCTCACTAGACCTAACAGAAGCTTTTCTCCCTTTCTCACAATACAAGAACTCGTGGGCACTCCATGAAACTGCTGAGCGGTCGGGTTAGAACGGATAAAAGGAAGTACTTCTTCACCCAAAGAGTGATTAACACACGGAATTCACTGCCACAGGAAGTGGTGGCGGCTACAAGCATGGACGGCTTCAAAAGGGAATTAGATAAGCATATGGAGCAGAGGTCCATCAGTGGCTATTAGCCACAAGGTATAGATAGGGGCTCTGGGGCAAGTGATGCTCTGTCTTCTTGGTGCTTGGGGGGGGGGTCAACAGTGGGAGGGCTTCTAATGTCCTGGCCCCACTGGTGGACCTCCTGATGGCACTGGTATTTCTGGCCACTGTGTAACACAGAGTGTTGGACTGGATGGGCCTTTGGCCTGATCCAACATTGGCATCTCTTATGTTCTTATTTACATATTCCAATCTTTCCCTCGCACAGGAGGTTCTTGCGTTTCTGTCTGGGAGACCATCACTTCCAGTTCCGAGCTCTTCCCTTTGGACTTGCGTCAGCTCCCAAGGTATTCACAAAGATATTGATCCATCCCATTGTAGTCCTCCGAAAAATGGGAATACACATTCATCCATATCTAGACGACCTGTTGATCAGATCGAAGACGTGGAAAAGGTCAGTATTAGACACACAAAGGACACTTCAATGTCTACAACACTTTGGTTTTCTAGTGAATATGAACAAAAGTTCCCTGACTCCATCTCAGACTCTGAATCACTTGGTTTTCTAGTGAATATGAACAAAAGTTCCCTGACTCCATCTCAGACTCTGAATCACTTGGGAGTCATTATAAACACCAAAACAACATCCCTGTATTTACCCATGGAGAAGATCCAAAAGATAAAATCAGATCATCAAGGCAAGAACATCGTCCTTATGCATTCTAACCAAGTTAATGGGAATGATGGTGGCATCGTTCGATACCCTTCAATGGGGAAGATTCCACTCAAGACAACTTCAGTTGTTTCTAAGACCATATCAAACCTCGATAACTTGGAAGATGGACATTTCCCTGAAGGTCCCGATTCAAGTGAAGCTGAGTCTGCATTGGTGGAAAAAAGAATCCAGTCTCTCCAGAGGGAAATCATTTTGGATTCAAGAGCGGAATCAGATGTTCACAGATGCAAGCTTAACAGGATGGGGAGCCACGATCCAGAACCAACCTGCATAGGGAAAATGGTCAAAGCTGGAGCAGACTCTTCCAATCAATCTACTGGAGCTCCGTGCAATAAGACTCGCTCTTCTATGCTTCTCATCTCAGATCAGAGGGACTCATGTTCTTATTCGCACGGACAACATCTCTGCGAAGGCCTAGTTGAACAAACAAGGAGGATCCAGATCTCCAATGCTACACAGAGAAGCAGTAAAGATACTGACCTGGGCAGAATCAAACTTAGCGTCCATGCAAGCAGAACATGTACAAGGAGCAATAAATCTACAAGCAGACTGGTTGAGCCGTCAAACAATTCAGGAAGGCGAATGGTCAATCAACAAGAAAATATTCCAGATCATAACACACAATATGGGCAATCCCATAGTGGACCTGTTTGCAACAGCCAGCAATGCCCAACTAACAAGGTTCTTCACAAGATTCTTTCATCATCAAGCAGAAGATACGGACGCCCTAACGGCCCAGTGGCCCAAGGGTCTTTTATACGCCTTTCCACCATTACCGATATTACCTTGGTTTCTGCGAAGAGTAAGCATATTAAAAGCCGAAGTCATTGAAATAGCTCCATATTGGCCGAGACGTCCATGGTTCACTTTCTTGCAGGAGATGGCGACAACCCCTCCTCTAGTGTTACCAATCTCTCCGGACATGCTGATTCAAGGGCCCTTTTGGCACCCGAGTCCGGAATGGTTCAAACTAGCCGCGTGGAAATTGAAAGGAACCGGCTAAGAAAACTTGGATATAATCAGAAGGTAATAGAGACTATTCTAACATCACGTAAACCTTCTACGGTGAGGATTTACAACTATACTTGGAAAGTGTTTGTGCGGTGGTCGAGAAGAAAGAAAGTGGATCCTTTACGCCCCAACATAAGTTCCATTCTAGAATTTCTCCAAGACAGCGTAGACACTGGGCTTCGGGTGGCAACACTCAAGAGACAGATTGTAGCACTGTCCACAGTTTTACCTCACTACAGGGATTTACCGGTTTCTCAGCATCCCCATATTCGACATTTCCTAAAAGGAGCTTCTTTTAAGTCACCTCTAACCCAGCATAGATTCCCAACTTGGAAACTGAATACGGTACTCAATGCATTAACTAGAAGTCCATTTGAGCCTTTAAAGGAAATATCTCTAAAAATTTTAAGAATGAAAGTGCTATTCTTGGTGTCAATCACCTCGGCTAGACGAGTTTCCGAGCTTGGTGCTCTTTCAATTAGGTCGGATCTTTGTATATTCCATAAGGACAAAGTCGTCCTTAGGACTGATCCCACTTTCCGTACCAAAATTAATACTAATTTCCACAACTCTCAAGAAATCTATCTGCCATCTTTTTGTCCGAATCCGGCACACCCCAAAGAAAGGCTTTGGCATACTCTAGATGTTCGCAGGGCACTTAAATGCTACATACACAGAACGTCTTCCATTAGGAAAACTGAGGCACTATTTATTAATATTTCTCCTCCACATACGGGAAGAAAAATGTCCAATTCTACGTTGAGCTCAACTGTTAAAGCTTGTATCGCAGAGGCATATAAAAGCTCTAAGCAACAGATCCCTGAAGGTATCATGGCGCATTCTCTGCGCAGTGCGGCCACTAATGCGGCGCTACATAATAGAGCATCACTAGAAGAAATCTGCAAGGCTGCAACGTGGTCATCTGTGTTGACTTTCATCAGACACTATAAAATTAACGTGTATGATTCGGCAGATGCGGCCTTTGGAAGGAGAGTACTGCAGTCTGTACTTTCACATGATGACGACCACCCACCCAAAAATTAGGGACACTGCTCAGGGAGGTCCCACAAGATGGCCTCCACCTCAGAGGGAGAACGACCATTGGTACTTACCGTGAGGGGTCCTTCTCCTCTGAGGGTTGGAGTACATCTTAGCCCTCCCGGGTTGTCATCATGCGTGAGTATCCTTGCCTTCATTCCTTGAGTTACCTTGTTTTTTGTTTCTATACTATTGTTAAAACCTTTTACTTGTAGAGAGAAGTGAGTTACAACTTCTTCCTGTTCTTTAGCATGTGGTTAAGTTTTTTATAGTTAACAGATTTTGAGGTTAATTCTCTAGGAGCACCCAAACTGAGCTAAGGGTGACTCCCACCACAGGAAACAGGAAGTTTTTTGAAGTTCCTGCCTCCCTGGATGATGGATGGGAATCACCCACAAGATGTCCTCCAGCCCTCAGAGGAGAAGGACCCCTCACGGTAAGTACCAATGGTCATTCTCCCTCTGAGAGGAGGACATCTTGATGGGACCTCCCATAGCAGTGTCCTCATCTGTTGGGTGGGTCATCGTCATGGTTGGTCAGAACGTGTTGCAGAACTCTTCGCCCAAAGGCTGCGTCTGCTGAGTCGTACAAGTTTATTTTGTAGTGCTTAACAAAACGTGGAAGGAGATGCCCACAGATTTCGCCGTGCCCGTCTTTGTTCAGGCGGTAATCGTGTCCGCTGCGGCAAAGGAGGCTTCTTTCTCTCCCTCAGAGAGGAAATCGTCGGAGCATTCATGCGCAGCCATTCTTGTTCTCTCTCCAGCCGGAGTGACGAGAAGGAAAAGGGGAGGGGAGTCAGATGTGGAAGGAATGAGCTCAGGCGGGCACAGGAGAGGGGAAAATAAAGAGGAAGGGAAGGAATAAGTACTAAAGTTGAGAAAAGGCTATTTAGCAGAAAAAACAGAAAAATTAGGCACAGGCCTAACTTTTTCCTGCTCTCCCTACTGAGGCAGGAACAGAACTGAAGAGATGGGCGTTCCCCACCAAGAGGTTGAAGATTGGTTCCTGCCTCCCTACAGATAGGGTGGGAAACACCCATCAAGATGTCCTCCTCTCAGAGGGAGAAGGGAAGACTATTCACACACCACATATGCAGCATCTAGTTTTGAAATATTAATGAGTGGAAGGGTACTGAGACAGGTTTGCCCTGTCTCTGGGGCTTGTCCTACATATGTCCACCTACCAGATGTATATGATCAGCCAATTTGGTATCATAATTCTTCCATCAACAAGAATTGTATCAGAGCATGGAAAAGTACAGACCATCCCTCCACTGGCACACACTGCTCTTTATTTGATAATCTCTCGGGGGGAGGGGTTGTGTGTGGGTGTTGGTTTTTTTTTGCATTCTTCTTGTTCGAAATGAGATGTTTTGTGTACAAATATTTAGGAAATGTTGAGCTTCACAGTCTGATCCTAAATACAGTACTTGAAAATAGATCCAAGTGGGTAGTACTTGGAAGCAGTACTAGGAGGTAAGCCCTGCTGGCCTCACTGGTGTTTTGAATCAGGGTAGCAATTATTAAGGTAAAGTATTTCAAAAATATTGTAGTGTTTATATTTGGGTAATAGCAGACTTGTTAATTTTTTATTCTTTTTTGCATACATATTTGCCATAGGTAGCAACAAGGAGCCATGTTTTCTTATTTGATATTTTCCTTCTGGGAGCTCGAGTGTTTAAGAATGGCCTCCAAATGATACTGGAAGATAGGAACATTTTGAAAGTATGTATTTGGCTTATGAGAATATTTGATAGCACATACAGGGAAAATGTGGGGTAGTCTGAATATAGCAACAAAAACATGTCTGTGTATGTTTATACATTTATCCCCATTCCTGTTCAACTAAAATTCAGGTTGTTTTTCCCTGCTGTTACTTAGGTTATCCATGACTGCCGGTGGCTTTCTGATTGCCTTTCTCATCAGTATGGAATTATGCTGTCCAATGTCTTTGATACACAGGTAGTTTGCTGGGTAGCTTCCAGATCGAGCTGTTTTGTAAAGGAATGCTTTATCTTGAAGGACATTGATTTTTTAATGCATGCAACTTTCCACAGAATCTGAATACCCATATGAACTCAGTTTCATGAGAAACCTACTTCAGTTTTAGCCCTCATGGTTTTGGAAACAGGCATGAGGGCTAACAACATACCGGTAGAAACCAGAAACATCCTATGTTTTGCACTGCAGATGTCCTTGTGCTTGTTGATGGAACCTGACCAGAATATTTCTGATAACATTCTGCTGCTTATGTCCCACCATTACTCCCATTACATCATTGGTTTTATAACAAACATTTCAATTTCTGCAAAACACTCAGCTTACTAGCTTTAATAAACATGTAGAAGATATATACAAATAATTAAAAGTGATATCTGATTGAATGGCACAAAATTTTGGCTTGGTGACAGCACAGTAATCCTCCATGCACTGTAGCACCATGTGTGCTTCTGGCCACAATGTACTTACTTTTGCTTCCCTTCCCATAGGTTGCTGATGTCTTGTACTTTTCAATGGAAACAGGTGGTTTCCTTCCAAACTGTATTTGCACTCTACAAGAATGCTTGATGCAACACCTGGGATTGCCCTACAAACAAGTCTCTTTCATGGTACGAAGGCAGCATGCAGTTGAGGTAAGTGAGTCTGCTGGGATGATCCTTTCCTTTTGAAGCAAATTTAATCTGATTGTGGCCCCTTGGAACTGTATCTGTTGTGATTTATCAGATTGTTAGAGTGCCTTTACAGTCTCCTTTAACAGTGGAAACTTCAATGAGTGGAGCATAGCCAAGAAAAGACAGTGCTTTTATATTCATTATCTTTTGTTTAGTACTGGCCTAGGTACTACAAACAAAGACATAACATTAACATGAAAGACTTTTGGGGTTACCATCCAAGCAGAGTATCTGTAGTCATCTTTTGTCCAGGTAGTCATTTTTCTGAAGATGTTTATATCAATTTAGTATGTGAGGACTTGAAATATAAAAACCCTGTATAGTAGGTCATTATTACCATACTCAGGGGGGGGGGGCACTGAGACTTATGGGAAGCCATGCAGGAAACTGATGGTAGAGGCAAGATTTAACTGGGGATGTCCTTATTTAGTAGACCAATCCTTTTAGGCATGATGTTTAATCAGAAATCGCATCCAGTTTTAGAATAATGTTTTTACCAATTCTTGTTACTCTTTAAATTATACATTTGTCATTATACATTCGGGGCATACAGAGAAACCCTGAGGTGTGGTTTGTGAGACCCCTTCCACCTGCATTGCTGAATGTGTTGGCTCTGGAAACATTTTACCTTCTCCCTCTTCGTATGATGCTCCTGGATGAAATTATGTCTGATCTAACAGCTTTGGTTGATGGATACCTAAATGCATTTCGAGAAGGGTCTGCAGACCCACTGGGGAGCACAGAGGTAGGGATCATTTTATGTCTTATTTCTGCCAGTCTTTTCATTTTAATTCAGATCCAGTAACGATATGGATTCATAATTCAAACACGTACATCTAAAATATTTCTGTTGAGCATGCCATTAAATGGTTGGAGGGCCCCCTCTCCTCATTCCAGAGGGGTAGCCTTGTTAGTCTGTTTTAAAAAGAAACAGGAGTCCTTAAAGACTAACAAAATGTTATTCTAGCATAGGATTATTATTATTTTTTTTGGGGGGGGGGGGGACTAAAGCCTGAAGATGCTCTGAAGATGGGCTCTGAAGATGGGCTCTAGTTAGGGCTGCCAGCTCTGGGTTGGGAAATACCTGGAGATTTTGGGGGTGGAGCCTGGGGAGGGACCTCAGCAGGCTATAATGCCACAGAGTCCACTCTCCAATGCAGTCATTTTCTCCAGGGGAACTGATCTTGATTGTCTGGAGATCAACTGTAATAGCAGGAGATCCCCAGGTGCCACCTGGAGGTTCGCAACACTAGCTCTACTCCATGAAAGCTGCAGTTGGAATATTATTTTGTTAGTCTTCAAGGTGCCACTAGTCCCCTACTTATTTTGGGGACTTCATGTTAAGGATTTTGGTACAGAGAAAATAGTTGTCCCAGTGCATTCAGATCTACTTTATATCTTCCACCAAAAATGAATGCCTTGTGTTTCTGCTTTGTATTGACTGTTTTCTAATGTTGAATAGGCATTTTTATGTCAGAACAATACAATAAACTTTGAGAGAACATGAGCTAACAGTTGTCCCTGGAACCGGCAGAGTGCTGTATGAAGAGCATTCATATATCTTGAAACATTACAGAAAAGATGGGATTCGCTCTATGTCGAAATATGAGGGGTTGCGATTTAAACTTTGAAGCAGCTCTCAGTGTGGTATTTTATATAACCAGGATTCACTGCTTCTGTGTTGTAACAATTCTCCATGCAGCTCTTGCTGTTGCTGTGAATGCAGAGGAGATGGCTCCAGCAGCAATGGAGCCATCTACTTAGCAGTTTCCCCCCACTACTTTTCTCACCTCAGCTCCCCATGGCAGTAGCTGGTTAGATATAATGCTATAACAATCTACTGCCACGATCGAGTAGTGCCTTTGAATTCCTAGCCTCTATTTTTTAAAGTCAGCCTCCAGCTTTTTTCACAGCAGAGATATAAAGCTTGCATATTTCCCTTTATATTTCCATAATGAAAAGGGTTAGCAACATTCTGTTTCTAAAATGAGAATTTAGAAGAGTTAGCAGATCATAGCTGTAGATCATGGTAAAGTAACGTCTATAACAATATATTAGTTGTCATTTAAAACACACACACAAAGACTTCCAGTGATCTACATCTATCTGGCAACCAAGAAGTTAGTAGTATAAAGGAAACCATTATGCTTTTGAACCAAACTGAAACTATTAAGTTTGTGTACTCAATAAACTATATTTCTGTTTTAAGTAAAAACAGCTGCTCTATTTAGAATAAAGGATCCCCTTTCACCTCACAGCTACCCCCACAAGCTGACTGTTCTGTCATTCTACCAAATGTAACTAAGCCGTTCTGTTCTTTGGGTTAAACTAAGAAGTCTAAGGGAAGAGAGCCTTTGGTGGCAGCAGAAATCATTAGGAAACACTAAAGAGGTCAAGGAGGCAGCAGAATACTGGTCATTTTAGAGCATTACAGAGAGGTGCCATTACAGGTGTTACATACCAGGGCTTACAATACAGGGGGTAAAACGTTACTATGATTATAATAATCTATAATGTTGTGGCTTTATATCAGTTGTCATTTTTAGAAAAGCCTTTCAGTGCTACAGTGGGGGAAATGGCAGCTATGAGGTACAGAGAAGGAAAATGGTGCTGATGTGGGTGGAACCTTGGATAATGTTCACCTTCCCATCCAGACTGCCTGATAATATGCTTAGACTGCATTCTTTCAAAAAGAGAGAGAGAGAGAACAAAGCAGCTTTGGGAAGGAGAAGACCAATGGTGGAGAGGACCAAAAATGGACAAAAGACAACTGAAACAGTATTAGACCATGGTGTCATGTAGATATTCACCCCCCAAAAAACCCCAGAGTGTTGCTTTTTTTAAAATCAGCAATTGAATATTCTTAGTACTACATTCTAACAATGTGTTTATTGTTATTTATCTGTGTTATTTATAGTCCGCCTTTCTCACAGGGACTTGGTAGATTACACATAGTAGTCAGCATACTCAACAAAGCAGGACATTCAATAAACGATGCATAACAATTGTAGAAGTCTAGAACCAACGAGAAAGAACTGAAGCCTAGAATAAGTATTAACATGACACATTAACTGGTACAAAAATTATATAATAGGATCCCATTTACAGTAAGCTATAAACAGCAGTATAGACCACAGTCCTTAATCATTATCCAAATAAAGCAAAGTTTGAGTCCAGGGGCACTATTAAGACCAACAAAGTTTAATGCCAGGTATAAGCTTTATCCAATTAATCATTAGTGCAGTGCAAAAAATCCATCTCGGATAGTTCCATTTTGCATAGTTTGCAGACTGCCAGGAGCATGGGAGCCTTCCTGACCTCAGGCAGGCCATTCCACAAGCCAGGAGCCACAATGGAGAAAGCACGTGTATGGGCAGTTGTGATTTTGCTCATTTGTAGGTTGGCAGCTGCAGTAGTCCCTGCTGACATGAGCAAAGCTGTTGTGATGGAGCATAAGGGGAGAAGCAATCCTACACATAAGAAGGACCAAGACCATGAAGGGCTTTGTATGTGATAGCCAGTACCTTAAATTGAGCTGGGTGTATCAGATTCTCTGAATCCGCAGCTTTCATTAAAAAAAAAAAAGTCTCTGGCACCACTACAGAGGTATAAGGAGAAAGGCATATTTCTGCAATGAAAGTGGCTGCAGACTTTTAAAAATAATGACAGCTAATCGTTCAGCGAAACTGAAACACAGAATGTTAGATTCTTATATGGATATAAAAGCGTTGATAGCTGGAAAAGCTCTGGTGGTTGGGGCAGGGGTGGGACTGACCGTTGCTGGAAAACTGCCACACGGAAGCCCCATAGCCATTGTGCTGTATCAGCAGCAGCAACAGGGAAAACACAGAAGCCTGTCCCTGTCTATGAGAGTCCTTGCTTGGAAGCAGAACAGATGGGCACCATGCAATAATTACTTTAAAATAATATATATTTTCCTCACTCTGGCTTTTTTCTTTTCAAGTGAAAGCATGAGTGAAGTTTTTGATAGCTTGGCAGGCCCAATGGTTTAAAGATATCAGTGAAAGGCTTCTCCCTCACTGTCCCCACACCACTGCCCTCCACTGTGCTGTTGTCAACTGGGGAGGACATTCCCAGGCCTAAGAATGGGAAGGAGAGGAGGTTATGGCACCTTGCCTCTCACTTCCCTGTGATGGACCTTCCTTCCTTCAGGAAGTCTCTGTTTGGTGTAGTGGTTTGTTTGTGTAGAGCCAGTTTGGTGTAGTGGTTAAGTGCATGGACTCTAATCTGGGAGAACTGGGTTTGTTTCCCCACTCCTCCACTTGCACCTGCTGGATGACCTTGGGCAAGCCATAGTTCTGGCACAGCTGTTCTTGAAAAAGAGCAGTTTCTGTCAGAGCTCTCTCAGCCCCGTCATCCTCCTCCTCCTTCTCTTCTTCCCCCCCCCAATCCTGTTGGGTATGCCTCCCTTTTAATGCCCCTGCTTGCCTCCCTTTAATCCAAGACCCAATCCTGCCACCCCCTTGACCAACTGCCCATCCTGATTGGCTAGTCTCCAGCCAGCAGCAAGATCTGCCTCATTTCAATCATCCTTCCTCCTATGGCTCCCCATACCATCCTGGCTCAAGGCTTGGTTCCAGCCTTGCAAAATCCTCACCTGACTTGTGCCGGCCTGCTTGCTTGCTTGGGTTCATACCACAGAGGTGGTTGTTCAAGGGACTGAGGCATTTCCTTGGGGTAATGCCAGCCTCTCTGGTGGCCTTGGGGCTTGACCAGGCCTGGCCATCCTCTCAGCTGGCATGGTCTGCTGCCACCATCGGTCTTGGTGAGGTAGCTGGCCAAGCTCCCCCCTGTGTCATTGGGGAAGTCTCCAGCTGCCTCCCGCTTGCCATGTTGGCCAGACTCCCCATTGTCGGCTGTCTATGTGATGCTCCATCAGGCCCCCATTAGGAGGCTGATGCTCCCATTGTGGGGGTTGGGGCTGCCCAACCACGAGGAGAACCTTGCTGCTGTCACGGGAGGAGGGAGGGTGCAGTCCGAGGCTGCCAACAGTCCTGGACACTATATTTGTATCCTTTATGCATTACTGAGCCCGTTCGGGCAGGGTAGAAATACAATAATCAATAAAATAAAATAAAACCAGAAAGAATACTTCTCCCTTTTCTTTTGCAGCTTACTTTACCCCTGCTTCAGTTTATTAGCCAGAGTAGCAAATGGACACTAAATAGGGAGTAATCCACCATTTAGAGGACCTTACATGAAAACACTTTCCTTTTGAAATGTGGAAATGCCACAGAGCTACTGTGATTGAGACCCCTGTCTATTTTAACCTTCATGTTTTGTTCCATATGTAGATGATAAATGCCTACTGATTACTGATAATCTCTTTGTGTGTGAATCAGTTCTCTTGCATGGAGCTACCACAAGAGCTACGACAATTGGCAAATTTTCACAAGCTACAAAGGGAAAAAGCAGTGCAGAAGTTTCAACAGAATGAAGAAGGCCTCCTCATTAGGAAACCAGCGGAGACTCTGGAAAGAAAGACAGCAAGAAAGGAAGCAAACGAAAGAGAAAGCACTGGCTTAATTTCTTCAAATAGGGCTGCATACCTTACAACATTTAGTGTCAGCCCTGTCCATTTCTTGGGTCCAGTTAATCAGGACAACTCTGTAAAAGAAGAGTGGAAGACAAATAACTGGGATAGTCATAGCACCACGGCTGGGGGTAGTAATGTGAACTCTGAAATAGAAACAATGGATTCTGTCAGCTGGGAGCAGTTCCAGAGGCAATGTTGTACATCTGTGTCAGAAGAGACTAAGGCAAGGGAAAAGGAACAGTCTCCAAAGTTCAACCTACAAAGAAAGGCTGCTGTGATTTTAAAAGAGGAAATCAAACAATCAATAGACAAGGATGAAGTCATAACAAATACTGCAATTTCTGCCCCTTTATTTCAAAAAATGAATAGTTCTCCGGTCTCATTTCAAGGGGGAAAATTGCCCTCACCTTCTGTAGAGCCATTTTACCAAGCTCTGTCAAACACTGCAGAGTTAGAATCCGCCCTTTCAAAAGCAACTTGAAGCTGTATTTGGAGTCTCTTACAAGACTGAAGGCCTACAAAAAAAGTATAAATCTTAAGTACGCTTTGGAAATACTTCCTAGTGAAGAGTACAAGAATTACTTTGAAATGAGATTTCAAAATCAAAGAGCAAAATATTCTTTGGGATTTGAACAAGTGCATTTATTTTTAAATGCAGGTAATTGTATCTTAGTAACAAGCATACTTTTCATTATTTTTGAGACATTTTTCCTAACTATTCTCTTAAAATGGTTGCAATGCTTTATGCTTAAAATGATTAAAATTCTTTGTCACATAGAAAAAATATTTTCTAAGATGTTCTATACATTATACCTGTCCTTGAATGTAATTTCTCTGATATGTTGCAATATGACAGTATACTTAAAGACTTCTTTGGGAAATAAGTAACAATAAAATATTGAGGATAAAAATTGTAATGTAAAAATTGTAATGTAAAAATAACTCATTAGATCCAAACACTTTTTGTTCTCCCAGTGACATTCACACCACTCAGTGAGCTGTTATTCTGTTCCCAGGGGCTGTCATTCTCCTTTGGCAGCTGCCCTTCCAAGCCCAAAACAGGAATCCTACTTGCAGGGTCTACCATTCTAGGTTCAATCTAGTTTGTCTTGTTTGAAGGAGCATCATTCTGCCTTGGGGGTTTCATTCCAATACCAAAGCACTGATTCCAGTTCCAGGAACTGTCAGTCCAGGTTCAGAGCAGCTTTCTCCAAAACTGTTTTACATTTTCACTGCAATTTTTCTGTACTGTATTTCAATGGACCCATGCCAGTCAATTGGCATTTGTGGGTACATATATCCAACGGACATATTTGACATTTATTTTAGTACACCCCCCCCCCTATGCTGCTCTTAAGGAGGGGTAGGATCCAGGTCTAGTTATCACATTAATTATGCATATCTGAATGAACACACTAAATATCTGCACTTATGTAATCTAGGATTCAAAAAATATCCTGTGGCCAAATTTCCATCTAATACTGTTGCATATAGTGACCACATCAGTTCCAATTTCCAATAACTTTTATTGACATAACAGTAACTTTAAAAAGAAAAGATAACAGTACAAATTCCTTAACGCAAAAAATTCCTGTGACCAAGGGTATAAAGCAGGGTTGTGTTTTAGCTCCCTCTCTAATTTGTTCCTTTCAGATCTCCCTTCCTATTTGGCTAAAATTGATGGGCACACGCACAAATTAAACTCAGCCCCGGTTCCTATTTTATTGTATGCGGATGATGCAGCAGTTCTTTCTTTTACTAAAGTAGGATTAAAGCGCTCCCTATCAGCATTTATTTCATTCTGTAATGAGAACTCCTTACTTATTAATTTTGATAAGACTAAAATTTTGGTATTTTCTAAATCATGGAGGCGTTCTGTCTGGAAGATCAATGGAAGAGAAATTGAACAAGTTAAATCTTTTAGATACTTGGGTATTCTCTTTCATTATAATCTAAAATGGTCCATGCATCAGGAACATTCTCTTCCCATTTTCACTATCAAAAAGGTAACCAATTTGTCCCGGCCATTTTTCGGGCTACAATGATTCCCCAACTACTGTATGGGGTTCCTGTGTGGATTCAGGACCTTAATAAAAAGGTTGAACAAGTTAATGCAATCATTCTGCGTCATATTATTGGCATTCCCAACTCGATTATTTATTCTACTTTGTGTGCTGAGTTGGGTCTCTATACCATAGAATCTAGAGCTTGGATTGCTGCCATCAAATATTGGTTACATCTTTATTTTCAACCTCCTCCCAATAGTCTTATCGCTTTTCTAACTGCTGATCCATATGTTTCTAAATGGTCCCAATCAATAAGGGAGAAAATTAATTCTTTAGGAATTGACTTAGACTTCCTGGTTAATTCCAATGAAACCTATATATTCCAAATAATTCAAAGGAGAATTCAGGATATTGATTTACAATTAATAAAAGCTGGAGCAGAGGGGACTTGTTCCCCGTTTCCTGGGTCTTGCTTTCCCACAAAACTCTATGGCTCAGTACTTTTCAAGCCTAACAATCCCTTCTCAATGCGGAGCATTTATGCTGGCCAGATTCAATATATTTCCCTCGGCCATTGTCACAGGCAGATAACAAGGGCATCCATCCCCTATGAGGCAAGATTCTGCAGATGTCTCTGCAAAGAACCTGACTCTATTCAGCATGTCCTCTTAAACTGCCCGCTGTTTACTCAGCTACATCTACACCTGATTAGCCCCCTCCTTCAACTCTCTAAGGCTGCGACAAATAGAGGTACTGAATTCTTGCTAGCAGATAAAAACCCCAAAGTTACTGAGCAGGTGGCAGAGTTCCTGGCAAATGTACTTAGGGGCCAAGAAAAAGAGGAAGAGGAAAGGAGGTGGAGAGAGATAAGGTGTATCTATGATTCCTCTTTGGATAGTTAAGTTTCTTACTGCAACTGTTTTAATTACTGTTCTGAACTTTTATCCCCTATTATTATTAATATATACAATGTTACAAATCGCTGTACTCTGACCACATCATTTATTGGGTAACAGAGAAGAAACTGCTTAAAAAAAAGGCTATCTGTGGGAGCTCCCTGAAACTAAGGTGTGCATGGTGCTCCACCACCATGGTCTTAGGTTTACATCTTCAAAACACACACACACACAACCTAGTTGTTCTTGCAACCTTAATACAGACTGATGTAGAAAGAGGATGCAGGAAGACTCTATACATAACCTCTCTAACTTCCTGGTAGAGAGAGCACATACCTTCTGTTTCAGGAGACTTTCACCCCTTCCAACAACCAAGAAATCAGAAGAAGATTAAGCCTCGGAGGGCCAGCCATGAAGGAACAAGACATGCTCTTTAAGTGTCCCTTGATAATCAAGATAATTTATACTGTGGTATTCTCCATTGCTATGTACAGAGGCAAAAGCTAGATAGTAAAAAAAGCTGAAAGGAAGAAAAGTGACCTGTTTAACATGTGGTGTTATTAGAGTTTTATGGATACCATGGCCCACCAAAAAGACAAATAAGTGGGTTCTAGATAAATCAATCCTCAACTCTTTCTAGAAGCTAAAAAGACCAAACTGTGTCTATCCTACTTTGAATCATAGAATTACAGAGTTGGAAGGGGCCAAACAGGCCATCTAGTCCACCCCCCTGCTCAATGCAAGATCATCAGCGTACAGCAACCCTGACAAGTGTTTGTCCAGCTGCTGCTACAGACTGCCAGTGAGGGGGAGCTTACCACCTCCCTAGGCAGCTGATTCCATTGTTGCACAACTCTTTCTGTAAAAAAGAGCTTTTCCTGATATCCAGCTGGTACCTTCCTGCCCTTAATTTAAACCCATTATTGCGAGTCCTATCCTCTGCTGCCAACAGGAACAGCTCCCTGCCCTCCTCTAAGTCACAGCCCTTCAAATACTTAGAGAGCAATCCTGTCCCCTCTCAACCTCCTACAGACGAAACAATACCAAGTCCCTCAGCCTTTCCTCATAGGGCTTGGTCTCCAGGCCCCCCGATCATCCTCATCACTCTCCTCTGCACCCGCTCCATTCTGTCCAATCCTTTTTAAAGTGAGGCCTCCAGAACTGCACACAATACTCCAGATGCTACCCAGAAGTATGTGTGTTCCTAATTTTTGTTACCCAGATGTAGAACTCAGCACTTACCCCTTTTTTTTAATAACAATTTTTATTATTTTCAGTTACTATACAAATATATGAAGTTCCATTTTTTGGCACTTATCCTTGTTAAATTGTATCTTGTTTACATCTGCCCACTTTCTTAGTGTGTTCAGATCTCATTGAATTCTATCTTATGGTGTTTGCTGCTCCTAATTTGGTGTCATCTGCAAATTTAATGAGTAGCCCCTCCACACCCACATCCAGATCATTTATAAAAATACTGAAAAGTATTGGGCCCAGAAGCGAGCTCCACGGCACCCCACTGGACACCTCCCTCCATTCAGATGAAATGCCATTGACAATTACTCTTTGAGTGCAGTTCTCCAACCAGTTCTCTATCCACCTAACTATCCTAGAGTCCAGTCCACAGTCCTCTAGTTTACCCATCAGAACATCATGGGGAACTCTGTCAAAAGCTTTACTGAAATCGAGGTAAACAACGTCAACACCATTCCCGCGATCCAGTAAGCTCGTCATTTGATGAAAGAAGGAAATGAGGTTGGTTTGGCAGGACCTGTTGGGGACAAATCTGTGCTCACTTCCCTGGATCATCAAGTTGTTATTTAGGTGCTTGCAGATTGATCCCTTTAAAATCTGCTCCAGTATCTTTCTTGGAATAGAGGTCAGACTGACTGGCCTGTAGTTTCCTGAGTCATCCCTCCTCCCTTTTTTGAAAATTGGGATAACAACTGCCCTCCAGTCTTATGGCATGTCCCCTGTCCTCCAAGAGGTCTGGGAGATGATGGACGAAAGCTCTACAAGCTCCCTAGAAAGTTATTTGAGCACTCTTGGGTGTATATCATCTGGCCCAGGGGATTTGTACTCATTCAGTGCAGCCAGGTGCTTCTCAACTACCTCTCTGTCCATGTCAACCAGCAGCTGGGATGCAGTGTCTTGCCTACTACTATCTCTGGATGAGTCTGATCTCTTCTTCAAGGACCCTTGACGAACCACGGAAGACAGATCTCCATGTGTGGAGGGTTCGGGGGGCGACGAGGGTCGCAGGCACCACGATGTAGGAGGCGTAGGCGAGTGGCAGGAGGACTCTGGGGGCCCCGCCCCTCTCCCTCCTCGGAGAGGGAGGTCCCGGGGAAAGGGGATGAAGGAGGAGACGGGGCCGGAGAAACGGTCCAGGATGGACTCATTTCCTCGGCCACCGACGCAAGGGGGATGTGCTCGATCCTGAGTGCGGGACAGCTGGAGAAGCCCGACCTTACCCCTGGGAGAGAGTTTGGAGATGCCGCGGCAGCTGCCGTCGGAGCTCGTATTCTTACCGGTAGGGAACACTCCCCTGCACACCCAGACTCAGGTCGAGAGCCACA